TTTGCAGAGACATGAAGTTAACTTGTTTTTAAAAACTACAAGCTCCAGAATAAGATTCCAAAATCCAAGAGGAAAGTCAAATATATTGCTCGGAGTGGCAAGCAGTCAAACCAACTGTATTTCACACATTTTATCTTCCACAACACAGCACACAGGTTCAAAATTAAGCTTAAGGGCAACTAGTTGAATACCTAGGCTTGACTGCACATTAGGCCTACAGCTGAAATATTTTTGGGCAGCTAGATCATCCACTCACCTGGAAGCTCACTGGGTTCAAGGGGAAGGGAGTACCAACAGCAGCTCAGCCTCTGCGTGGGCGCTCATTTGGTTAAGCATGTAGGAATTAGAAATCAAGCGCTACAAAACCTGGGCTAACCATGTAAGCCAGTACATTGTTTTCTTAGGAATGTCACTGTAGAGTGTTTTTATTTGAACTTAAGCATCTACATCTTTTACACTGATGTGAATGAGAACTGTTTGCAATGTTAACGCTAAGTACACATCGATGCCTGTCAGAGTCCAAGCAGATGGAGCAGGAAAAAATCTGATGTGCATTGCTGATTAACTCCTGCAGTGAAATAAGTGTATAGATTTAGAATACACAAATTATATCCTTTCTGTATTGCTCCTCAGCTCCTGATGTTTACAAATCATAAGCAATAAAATTGCTTTTACAGGCATAATCACCTCATATTGGGAATCAGAATAAATAAGATGTAAAGAATCATCATGAAGACATCCCAAACTTGTGAATAGTCAAGAGCAGATGAATACATTTGCGGAAATCAATCAAGAACAATTAAAAATATTTTTTAATGTTTAATTACTGAATGTACTACAAAGGACCAAACTTATGCTTTTAAAAATTGCTATACTATAAGTAGCTTATATAATTTTCACTACAAATATCTGCAAATTAATTTCCTATTAATTAGAGTTATTTAAATTATGGTACTGATTTTTTTTCCAGTATCCGATTCTTCATCATCTCATTATGGAAGTCCACAGCAAACTTTTGAGTATAAAATTGGGAGTGCTGCATGTAAGGTTTAATACTGAAGTACTCAGACAATGCATTCTGCTATATTTGGGTAGATTGGTACATAAATGCTTCTCACTGCCTTTCTTTCCCTTAAGCAAATTTCTTCTCTTGCTTTCAAATAACAGATAAAAATTTATCTGGTGCATCTAAGAATTCAGACCTTTCTCACTACAGTCTGTTATTTCCCTTTAAAACAGACACTATCTACCCACTACTCAAAAGTAGCACTGGCTCTGTATACTTCTAAAAAGCAACTTTTGCCTTTAAATTCACCTTAAAAACCACAAAGCAAATTTCTGCTTGCCCTTGTACCTGACATAATAGCATAATCACAGTAGAAAGACTCTGAGGATCTTCTTTTAGAGGTAAGCTACCCAAAGAGGCATACAAGGAATCAACAGATATGGTTTGTTTTGTTTGTTTTTTCAGAATGAGCACATGGATACAGGCAATCAGCAAAGAATGCTCTTTCAGCTCCTTAGGTTCTGACATTTTGGCTTGCTAAAGAATTGGCACAGGGCAATCTACCACCTGAAAGGTTGTTACAAGCAAAGAAGCTCAATAAGGCAGTATAAAAATAATAACTCATCTAAACCTTACCCTTCTAATGGTATTCTGAGAATATGAGCAAGGTAAAAATACTAACATTACAACATTTCATACACGTGCACATGGGATCTAATCACACCAAAAAAGTGTGATATTATTCCCAATTTATATTAGCTTTGTGCAAAAGTGAGAGAAAATATAGAATTCTTTGCTGTTGAAATACTGAGAAATTACAAATCACCAGTTAATTATATGAAGAAAAGTAGATAGAGACCCAAAGAAGAGTCTTGCTACTGGTTGCAACAAATAAAATATACAAACAGAACTATCATAGTAGTACAGAACTATTATAATAATCTTGATACCACAGTAGTTTCATTTATGATGGCTTTTCATATGCTAAATAAAGTATCCCTTTAGACAATCTAGCAGTAACAGACAAAGAACAGGTAGCTTGCTATGCAGTTCTGGGGAAGAAAAATATTTCAGACATCAAATGCTGGCAGCCTGACTTCTTAGTTATTTTACAGTAAATGACATAGACACAAATCCATATACAAAGAAGAATCCCACTGGAAAAGCCCACTGATATATATTTTTGGCCTGAGAGTGAAATTTTAGTGGTCCACCCTAAGAAGTAGACATTTAGCATGACATGAATACCAACCTTCCTGTCTGCAGAATTTCAAACACGGTTTACTTTGTAAAAATCAAACTCCATTGGATTAATTCTTAGCGCGGAAAAAATGTTTGAAAGTAAGTAGTCTAGAAATTATTAAAAAGGAACAAGAACAGTGTCTTTGCTAATTAGAGATAAAGCTTACTAGGGTAGAAGTTTGCATCTTTGCCTGCATACCAAAATACACTCATCAGCATTTATTTTTCTGCTCAGTCAGGTCTTCTGTGAGACTCAGCAGAAAAGAAAATTTATTGTGATCTCAATTTGTTATACTGTATCTCAACTACTAAAGAATACAAGTAGTACTTATTTTAAAAACTAAATAGACTTATTTTCTAACCGCAGATTGGAATGACAATTTTCAATGTCAACTTCAAGGTAGGGGATAAAGTAATTTTAATATATTTATTGTGATCCAATCTCAAAATATTTTATAAAATATTAAGCAAACACAAGGATAATAAAAGATATACTCTGCATTTCTTCCACACAGTTAAAGAAGCTATCCTGAATTTTCCTTTCCCTGGAAAATACTGAGGATTAACCTTGTATTCACTATGTTAATGTTACTATAATATTCCTTGATCAGGTGACTTTAACAAAGAAAGAGAGAATGTTCAGCACAGGACTACCACACAAGAAATCTGAGTTTGCAGTCCTGACTCAACCACTGATTATTCTTGGTGGACATGACAAAGCAACCCTTGGGACACAAGCACAATCCTAAAAAGAGATGCAATTTCAGAACAAGAGGTTGCATGTGTAGCTACACTGACTGGTACCAGAAGCAAGTAGCTCAGTGAAGAACAGCTCTGGCTGAATATTTGCCATTGTGTTCTGCTCTTGCAGAGCAGAACATCATTTTGATTCTCAGAGAATTTACCCATTCCTGAGTTTCTGAAGGAATTTCCTCACCTCTTCCCATTCTGCATGCCTAATGTTTGGGGCCAGCAACATTATATATCCTCTTTTACTAATGCAGACTACTAAAACTAGCAGTCAATATGAAAATACATTTTAGTGTTTCACAGGAGACATCTGAGTCATTGCTCCAGGAGTACCAATAAGTAGCTTTACCATACTTCAATGAGTTATTCACAGGTCATAAAGAACATATTACACACTGCTGATTATATATTCAGAGTATGTAACTCTCTTTCTTGTCCAAATTACCAGGACATCTTCAGCCAAATGCTGGCTACAGTAATTTTTTATTTATGAAAGGAGTAAAAACTTCCCTTCACCTTCATCATTAATTCTGAGCAAATGTCTCCAATCTTCCCTTTTTCATGCTGTCAAGGATCAGTGGAAATAAAAATGGTATTAAGATAACTAGCCTAAAACAAATTCAGCAGCTCTGCTGACAGTTTAATTCCTACAAGTTAGAAAACTTTCTCCTTTGTTACATCTCACACTGACAAAGCTCCTGTGACAAGTTTCACCATTCTGCATTGTTGTCTCTCCCTTGCCTTTCTTTTCTGAGGTTTAACAAAGATTGCAAGGAAAGTTAATTTTTTTTTTTTAAATTAGAGATGGCGAGTTTATAATACCACAAAATTTGACAAAGTAGGAGGCTGGTATATAAAACACAAGTACATCAATATTACTTTTTAAACTTGCAAGAAACTGTATAAAAATCCTTTTATAAAGATACTTTTCAGTTTAATGAAAGAAATATATCATTTCTACTAAAGCAAATAAATAAAGGTTTTAAATACCCTAGTTTAAAAGTAAGTAACGTGTTTGCTTTTGTAAGTAGATTCCTTACAATATATAATACAAAAATAAGATAAATTGCTGTAAATGTGCAATTTCTCTGACCTTACTCAGATTTGCAGCATTCTCCTGGGTGCCAGTCACTGTTGTGATGGAGCTTATGGAGATACTCTCACCAGAAATGATTATACCTTTATTAACACAATCTAGATTCTTCCATTAAAAAAACAAAAAAAAAAAAAAAAAAGAGAGGAAAACGAAAAAAAACCCCATGCTTTCTTCATAAAAATACTGACTGGTATCCAAATTACCATAAAAGTAACCAGGAACGCTGAAATAGAAAATTTTACTACTTTTTATACTAAATACACCTTGAAAATATCAATCCATGCACTGAAGTGTAAATTTGCGTTTTACATAGTTTTGATGACTGTTACTTAATGACAGACAGAAAGAAAAAACAAGGACATGTTTTCCAGCCCCAGTAGCTGCCAAGGTAAGTGGTTATGACATAGCAAATTTCCTGAGCTTTCTCATGGGTCTGTGCCTTACACAAGGTTACCAGTGAGGCCATTCCAGTGTTTCTGATACACTTTTGTCAATATTAATCTTATTCCCCCAAGTGGGCAAAACTCTCTAGCTTAACGCCTCCTAACATTTTAGCATATGAGTACAAATACACTTCCAGATGGATTTAATCTGAAAACATCTCCTTTGCTTTAATTATGCAGCTCCATTACTACTAATGGCATCTACAAACATTCATTCCTCAGATTACAACTGCTGCCAACACGTGTAAAATAGCTATTGTTTATTGTTGCACGAGAAAATGTCTAAAATCCAGTAAAACAAGGAGAGCACACAAACATTCCCTTTACTAGTGAGAGCAAGTTTTGCAAAACAGAGAATGGATATGTTCAGCCCTCTTGGTTATTGTGCAATTGCAAGTGAACCTCTCCTCTCCTCCAGGGCTTTCCTAAAAATTCTGATTTTTGAGGAGAATCTCAGTGCAATTGTGCTGGGCTCCACTGGTGGGAGGTGAGAAAATCCCATTTCCTCCATGGAGAACAGAGGACATGGCCCAGATGCAAGCTGCTCACAGGTGCCCAGAGCTGCCTCCTAGTTTGTCTTAAGCTTTGTGTAGTTTGTTTCCATAAAGCACTGACAGTGCTCAGTAGGGAATTAAGGATAATATCTTCCAACACTGTGCCATGTTCACATAGTGCAGAACTTGACATATGCCTGGCATGTGCTACTCACACAAACCCCACAGGTGCCATACAGGCTTATTCAGAGTCAGAAGTTCAAAAGGAGAAAAAAAAAGGGTAACATTATTTGCATGATGAAAATACTATTATAATGGAAATTGCACTTTTAAAGCCAAATACAAAAAAAGTTTATTTCATGCAACTTACATCTGTCTAAAATTAGAATGGGTGCCTAGATGACTTTTTAATCACAGTGATATTTCATGAAAATCAACTCAAATCATCTTTTCCTGTGAGATAAAAATTTCTAAAATGCCAAAAATTCTGCCATCTTGGTAACACTAATCTAAAATGAGAATGAAGCTATTTAAATCTTTGTAAGACATTGTATTTGAAGAAAATAGCTACTATTACCTTATCATATCCAAAGTACCAGAACAAGGAAGAAGTTAAGGTACACTTTTAAAATATTAATAGAAAGTACAGCTCATTATTGTGAAACTAAAGCATAAGTATTGTTCATTTTTATACAGAAATAAGTGTTTTGAGAAAACACAGGAGAAAAGCATATGTCTTTGAAGCTAAAGAACTTCTTAAATTGCATTAGAAGTTTTATGTGTCAATGATATATACTAATTTTCAACATTTACCAAGCACATAGCAATTAAATCTACTGAGTTGGATAGTGTTTTTCATGCCTTCCAAAAGGAAATATTGCCTGGATGAATGGAGTGAGTGGGGCTGACAGCTGCTTGAATCTCAGGCTGGAAGGGAACAATGGTTTCTGCCCTGCTGGCAGCCAGCAGTGAGGACAGCCCTGCAGGGGTCAGGTCTGTGGCCATGACAATCAACATCTCACCAGTGACCTGTGCAAGGACACGGTGATCCATGGTAACTGTTCACAGATGACAGCAAATTAGGAGGAGGACATGGCATGCCAGATGGCAAAGCTTCAGCTAGAAGGACACTGCTCAACTTGAGGACTGGGCCAGCAAACACTTCACAAGGTTCAAAAGAAATGAAAAGTTCTGCTCCTGGAGCACAAAAATCCTGCATGCCAGGAAGAGATGTCTGAGCAGCAGCCCTGCCAAAAACCAGACAGCATTTACACAAAGTGCCAGCCTGCAGAACAGCCAGTGGTGCACTCTCCTTGCAGCATGGGATACTCAGTTCTGCACTACACGGGCAGGGGATGGGCAAAACTCACCATACCCTCTCAGTCAATGCTAGGAAATGTCACAGGTTGACTAAAAATTATAATTTGGATAGAAGCCCTCATATCTATTCACCTTAGAAACAGCACAAAATATTCCATGATGTCTGCCAATGTTAGAGGAAAAATGCAGTAACAGATTTTACACAGACTACAGAGAATTCTGCACTATGAGAAACTGCTTCATGGTACTTCTGCTTAAACTTTTTCATTTCTGATATAGACTGCAAATACCTTGTGTTGCATCATTTTGTGTCTTTTCTACTTACTAAGTAACTAATTTAACATCCTCTTGGGTTAGAAAGTGCCTTCAATAGAAAGATTTAGCATTTCACAGATTTTCTAGAATTTAGAAATGTTACCGTTATTTTTCTTTCAATGAATGTCAAATGAACAATTGTAAAAAACAATTCAGTGATAGCATTTTTAATGTCCACCAAGTTTCAGTTTGCATTGCAAATAATGGCATTCACAGAGCACTGCCAGAATGCTGTAAACTAAAGACCTTCTTTCTGTATTTAAATTAAAGATTTGAGGACATGCAGTTCTGTCCCTCAGACGTGCTTGCAGTCATACACAAATAATACTTCCTCATATCACGGTGAACTGCACACAAGGACTGGAGCAAAGGATGGGCAAATGTTTAATAGAGTTGGCTTTAAAGAAAACTACATAAATAATTAATTGCTATTTTACACACAATGTGCCAATTTGATTCCTAATGTAATATTGTTAAAGCAAGCAGGATGACCTTAACCAAATATCATTCAAAAAACCAACTTTGATATATGAAAATTTTCTTATAATAAATTTTCTTATAATAACAATTGCAGAACTAAAGAATAAATCAGACTAGGTTCAACTAGGAAAGAGAAAGATAACATTCTTTGAATAACTTAAAATTTTCTTTGGAAGAAATCCCATTAATCTACATAGGGATTTTTATACCAAATTTTTATTAAAAATTCATGTGCAGTCTCAATTCATAAAAAGTCTACTTAATATTTTCTGTAGGTTTTCATAGTTCTTTCTGACAACAGAAGTGTGTGAAGAAATTTGAACTGATTAGCAGCTAGTTGCCCTGCTAGTTACTTTGCTATACCATCAACAGGGAGGTCTAAATTTATCTGAAATGACCAAAGTAATCTCAGTTATATGGGGACCTGACTTGGAAAAAGGAAGAAGCAGACTGAGAGCTGGGGATGTGTGGTAATGCACTGACAACTGTTCAAGCAGCTCTGCTGGCAGATCACATACCTATCTCGTAATTTTATTTTTGGTCTCAGGACTGGAATCTTAAATAGAAAAATCATATGTCATGTATGTGCAGAAAGGAATATAGAATCTGTTCATGAAATCTAACCCATCACCAGTGGTGGGATGTGTAACACATGCACAAATGGAAGACTAGATCATACCATATGGAATGTAGCTCTTATCTAATAAATTACTGGTTTCACTTTTATTAAGATCTGCCCTCCTACTGTTTATTGTTTCAGAGATTTTCAAATAGAAAGTGCCAAGTCTTCTCCCACTTATATTAACTGAGGCTTAGCAACACATAAGAGATTTTTTAAAATCAAAAAATATAGAACCATTTTATGAAAAAATGTAAAGTATATTTTGCACAAGAGCTGTTTTGGCAACACAAGTAGAAGTTGTTAGCTATAACACATGGGAGCCTCTGCCATACTCTCCAACATAATTTGAGATAAGAAAAGTGGATGGGGAAAAAACAGAGCCAGGAAAATAAACAGAGCGTGTGGCAGAAAACAGTTGCATTTACAGTACTATCCAGCTTCTGGAGAGACCTTCACATGAAATCCTTCTGTGCTTTTAACACTGTTGCAAAGCTTCAGGGATTTCTAATTGTATAAACAGTTAGGGGAAAATGAGATTCACTGAGAGATCTATGTCCAGGCAGTACTAAATGTGATGACTGCATCTCAGCATCAGTCATTCAGAATATGAACTTTCTGACTAGCAACTCATATGCATTTACCAAAATTCAAATTCAACCAGCTAGCAGTTTCTTTTCAGTCTGATTATACAGTCAGCATCCCAAAGCTAAAGCATGTACAATAAGTCTCATACCTCTGAAATGCAGTTAGATGTTTGGTTATCTTTTGATTTCAAATAATGCAGGTCTTCCAGTATTTATATTGTGATAAAATTCTAGAGCTTTAAAAATCTGCCCTTCACACAAGCCTAAGCATAGATATTTTAAAATTACTTAATGTACATCTTCATATTTTGTTAAGGCATGAACAATGGCATATGAATGGGAACAGCTTCCAGAAAAGCATCTTTTTGACAAAGGCCAGTCCAAGCATATCACACCAAAGGACTAACCTGAAGCCAGAAATGACAGTGTTGTGACCCAAGAGTTTTTAACAAAAATAGTTGAAACAAAATGGAACTTTTTTCTATTTTTCTTTTTTTTTTTTTTTTTTTTTTTACTTTAAATTGTATTACTCTTAATGTCTGTTTAAAGCACCGGTTGCAGTTTTGCGCTTACCACCTCTTCCGAGTGACTTTGGATACTTCATCTGCTTCTTTATTTCTGAATTTTCAGCGTATGAAACTTTACAAGGTTTCTGTTTCCTTTTTTTTCTTTTTCTTTTTTTTTTTTAGTTTTGATGGCTGCTGCAAAATTAGAAAGATCCAGAAGTGGTCAGGGGCCTGGTCTAATGCACTTCCAAAAGTCCATTATAAAGATGAATATAAATGCATATGATATGGTTTTTCCGTAGACCCACAAACCACGCTTAGCTATAAGAAACATATTGTGCATAGTTATTTTTTTTCTTCAGAGTGATATGTTTACTAGGTCTACATTCTCAGTTCACCAGAGTACAGGAATGTCTACTTTACTAAAGCCAGGATCCTTTCGCAGTTCCCAGTAGGTTTCATTGGTAACCCAGGCTTCTCTTTGATTAGCGTCAATTACTTTTCTGTAGAAAGGGAAAACAAAAAGAGATAAAGAGACAAAAAATATTGCTCTTATGCAATATAAAATCAAAATCCACACTTCTCTGATCTAACCCAATATTAAATCAAATTTCATACTTTTAAAGGACACAACAATCAGAAATTAAAAAACAAAAATCAGTCTCTACCTATATCAAAAGCAGAAGACAGAGAAGACGGCCGAGACTGAAAATCTGTTGTTTGATCTGTGAGAGCAGGTCTTAGATCCACCTAAAACCCCTTTCCTCACTACAGATTCTGAATATGTGAAAGGGATTATCCAACAGATATAGCTTACAGAATGTAAGCCTTCAACCATTTATTTTTTGTCTCTGCATTTTGCTTATGTTTTGCTACAACTGGATCAAACACATTCAGTCTTTTCACTTTTGATTCCCCATGTTAGACATGAGGCTACTTGGTATGACTATTCCTTGTTTCAGAAGAATGCTTAACTAAAAAACAGCCAAAAACCACTTTCATTCAAAAATGAATGTTTTTTAAGTGTATACATATACATTTATACTTATTAACATCTTGTAGGTATATATATATATATATATATATATATATATATATGTATGATGTTGCTGTTCAGGTCATATGGTATTACTTGTCTAGGCAATGACTTTAAAATGTCCCTAGTTAAATCTTAGATCCTAATATTATACTTCTAATTCCACTTCAGTAGGAAGGCTTATATAGCTGAGGCCCATTATGAGAAAATGATCATTCAATTATGAATCTTAACTGCTGTGTAAAAATTGCTTCAGAGAAGCAGGTGTCAGATATCTTATCTTAAAACTTTCATGATTCTCAGTCTGTGTTGGTGGTAATTCTTGTAGTACTCCATCCAGTTACAAGCTGGAAAACAGAGACTTACTACTCAAATGAAAAGACTCACTTAAAAAACTTGGGTACATATTCAATGCCGTTTTCTTCCATGTACCGCCTCCGAGCTCTCTGGAGTTCCTCTATTCTTTGTTTCTCAGATGCTGCTGCTTCTATATTTCCTTCCTCCAGAAGCCTGTAGGAATAACAGTAGATTGTATAGCAATCACACATTGTCTAGTCCAAGGGATTTTCCAGCTCCCATCATCACAAAATACAAGCAGAAGCCAAGCATGTTGTCAGTGTTGTACTTTCAGATCCAGCCTGAGATGAGACTCCCCAGCTATGTGCACCTGACCTACAGCCTAAGGCACAGGCTTTGTTCAGCAGCTTCAGCATATCACACTGAAGGACTATGAACTGAGAATTTGGAGGGAATTAGTGCTCATTCCATCCATAGCAGAACTGCACAGCATTTCAGAGCCTGTTTTCCAGTTTGTCATGAGCAATCTGCCCCAAGGTTGCACTACAGCTCTATAGCATCAACAAGAAGCTTTCTAATTTCCCTTTAGCTGGGTTAAGCATAAATTTGAGTGCAATACTATCTTCTCTACTAGCAGAATCCTCCACAGCTTAATTCAGACTGCAGTGAAGATACAGACAGAATTCAAGACTCAGCCAAACTCAGCCTTGAGCCCACCAAATATTAAATGTATAAATAAGCATTCTTGCCTTTGATCTGGCCTGAATCGTGCATCTGTTGCAGGGAGAAGATCTTTCAGTAAAGGATCTAATTCATTGAGCTCAATAGCAAACCTTGTGAAGCCATAATAACGCTCATAATTGGTTGGCATGGAGCCTAAACACATAAGACAAAGAAAAAAGCTTTTAAGCCATTACTCTAAATATGCAAGAGATTCCTTTATTTATACACTTTTAACAGAAAAATAGTTAATATATTTTACTCTTACAGTTAAAAAGCATCAAAAGCTATTCTGTAAGTGAAACAAAATTCACTAAATATGCGTATCAACTGCTTATCCTGCAGAGATTGTAATTACATGTTAATAGACTCAAAGCTTCTATGATCTTCCTCCCATTTTAAATAAAAATTAATGTTTTCAAGCTTTTTAAATTAAAAACAGTTTCCTGCTCCCCAGAAAGTGGGTCTATCAAATGTCTGTCTAAAACTTAACCTTAACTGATCTTTAGAGTTCATTTTGGAACTTAGCACACACTCACAGCCTGATTCACCACCACAAAGAGTCAAGCCAGACAGTCAGGAAGAGAGTAAGGTGCAAAGTACAGTTCAAAATACCAAAAATACAAAGTAGGATTCAAAATTATAAGAACAATAATTCCTGGATAATGCATGTATGAAAGATACAGGTGCAAAGGATGACTAATTCAACCTCAGGCCTCTAAGCAAGCAGGAAGTTGAAAACTCAATAAACCCCTTCTTTGATGAATCCAAAAAAGTTACCCTGCTCTCTGTCAAAAGGCAGACAAGCCTCCACAGATGCCAAATTTTTTTCCTTATTTTATTCTTCTGTTGATCCCAAGGTCCCAGAACATCTGACCAGGAGTCAGACTGAGATGCTAAAGATTATGCCCTGTAAGAACATTTCCATTTACCATTATTATAAACCCATGCAAACTGCTGTTTGTCTAGCCAGGGATTTAAACTTCTCTAGTATTATTTTGTGTATTTAAAATGTAGGCTGAAACAGCTTCACACCTTCCAGAATTTTTTTACAAGCTTCTTACCTGGCCTCCATATGCACTTGGCTGAAGGTGCAACCCCACAGTAGAGGCCTTCGTGCCACTTTCCAAAAAGGCGGTGAACCACCTTCCCTTCTTGATCTATCACAACGCCCTGGACCTCATTTACATTGGAATTCCAGTAGTTCACCTGCAAGTTTAACCAAGAATTACTAGCTCACACTGCTTTTCCAACAGCCCATTGTAACAATACACATAATGAATGTCTCTTGGCTGTGGTGCCAACTGTCCAAATTCTGGGTTGGAACAGCTCACCTGGAACTAAGAATACCAAAATTTGAAAATCATATGGTCCTAACACTAACTGATTTATTAACTGAGAAACACTTGCAATGTGGTTTTGACATAAAAGCATTTAAATTAACTGCACATCTGGGAATAACATTCTCAGTCATTATCACAAATCCCACACAATTCTGCAAAAATGACCTTTTGCCTGTCAGAGCCATCTAACGCTCCTCTTCCTACTCAAGGAGGTATTAAATATACCTGTACTTGAATAGGAATCCTTTCATGCGTGCTGAACACTACTGTATGCAGCAGGGAAGATATTACATTATTACATGTTATTTCTTTCTGTTTCTCATCTCTGTTTTGCTTTTCTTAGACACATTTAGTTCTTACACCTTCATCCAAGAGCCAGTTGCCCATTCTCAGATTATCCAACAAAACACAAATTTCAGATTTATGTTAACATCCCATTGTTAACACTAAAATGGTATCGGTATCTTTTGTTGCAATGTGAAGACAAATTTATTTTTAGGGAAAATACTTGCTGGTAAGATAGCTATATAAACTTCTATTTTTATATATGATCCTTGCCTGGATATTACAATACTATGAACCAAAGCAGCAATACATAATGTAAAGAGATAAAATATTGACTGAAAAATTCTAGTAGAAGGAGAAGCAAAATGGCATGGCAGCATACAGTGACTTTGTGTTTTCATTGTGTTACTATAAAAAAATGTTGACATTTAATTTTTAATCAAAAAACAGCAACAGTAGAGCACACAGCTTTACAGCAATGGAACACACTGACATCAAATGTTCAGAGGAGCAGAGTCTTACTAATTGACATAGCATTCTCATTTGAGAATTTACATTTTATGAATATTGATAAAAGGAATAAAAGATAAAATGTGGAATATGGACTTCAGGAATAGTGAAGAAACAGCCTGATGTACCCTTAAATTACAGTTATATGAATATAAGATATATATTAACATCCATATGTTACCTTGACAAAAGTGAGTTTACAAATACAAACACTGCTTTTTGTGTTTCTGATAGTTATCTCTCCATAGTGCTCTATCCATCTCCTTCCACTAAGAATATTATGTATGCAAGTTGTGACTTTGTTCCAGACATAGTAATCTCCATACCTAAGAACAGATTAAGAAGTAGTTGGTAATATCTATTCATCATGAACATTGCTGACAAAAAAGTAAAACATTCCTCCTTTATTGCAAAAACAAACCACATTTCCCAAAAACACCCACACAGATGACAAAGTCCTGTGTCTGGTTACATCACTAATCCTCCTTAGAGAAGCTCACCTAAGCTCCAGAACTACAGAAAGGTGCTATAAACCACAAATAAACACATTATGAGCCACTGAAGCCCTGCATGGCCTGTTCACTGTCCTCAGAGCATGAAGTGCTTTGGCCACAATTCCTATAGGGGCAGGACAGTGACACAAAGATCAACATACGGCTGAATTGAGACTATAAGCAGAAAATGCAATTGAATCACAAACAGAACAAAATAAATATGAAAACCATACTACAAATGTGGGAAATTTGGACAGGACATCAAGGAAAGGAAGTAGAAAGCCAGGAGCACACTGGCACATCATCCCTCCCTTCGCCTTTGTAACAACTATCCAGTCAGAGCATCTCTAACATCAAACAAGAGAATAAAACCAGAGGATTATATTATGCAAAGCACATTCTCCTTCAGAGTTTAGGGGAAGGCATGAAGACAGAAGACAAAGCTGCTCCAGAGTGCATTTCCTTCAATTTTATGAGATGGATAAACAGGTGAAGTGATGATATATTGGTAGAGGCAGAAAGAAAGGCTGGCTGCAATGTACAGGAGCAAGAACACCACTACAAAACCAGAAGACATGTTTAAAGTACCCACTCCTGGCATAATTTTAGGATTTACAAGCTGCAACTAATCTCACTGGTGGTGAAGCTACTGCTTCTCACTACTCTGCCAAAATCTCCATACAAATTATGGAGAATATACATCGCTTTATCCACATTTTGAAAAAAGACCTTTCATGATCTCGTTGTTCTGAGGGAACAACAAGACACTGAGAGCCTTAGGACAACACCAGCTGCTGACAGTCCTGCACTGCAGCCTTGTTCTGAACAGCTCATCACGCTGTACACATAAAACATGGGTTCCCTCTCCCAAAACATTTCTATCTCCCTCCATCACTTTCTAGAGTGCATATTCTTCCTCCAAAACCAAAAATGGATCTTCAGGCTCAAAAACGTTCCAGTAGCCCCAGATGAACACTAAGGAAAGATTAAGGCTGGGCACAAACCCTCACCAGTACAATCCACATCATGTCTGCTTACCCCAACCCATGCACAAGGCAGCCCAGACTGGAGTGCACCAAAGGTTGAAAACAAGAGGAGAGTAGCTTACTTTGGAAGAGTCACATTCAAGGTTCCAACAGGCAGAATTTCCATTGATTTCCCCCAGAATTTGTTTTTCCACCTGATATCTGAATATAACAGTGAAATACTTAGAAAACTGGAATGACCAAGGTCTCCCCCTTGCACTGATCTGTGTGGCACCAGACCATCTGTGCTGGACTATCCAATTCAAAACAGGGCAGTAGATAGTATGAATTTGCCATGAAAATACTAAAGAAAAAAATACTCGAAAATTACATTAGGTCAGAAAAATTAAATGTAAGTTTAATTAAGAATTGTGTCTGTGCTGCATGATTGTCAAATGTCTTGGGCAAACATTCAATAGAAATTAAAGGCATACACCAGTAGGTACAAGGAAAGAAAGAGTAATTTTTTCAACTGTAAAAAGAACTGCTTGTGTTTGTAAGAAATAGTAATTTTATTGGTAAAAACCTTTTAAATGGGAGAGTATAAACTGGCTGCAAGTGACAGAGGAAGCTATAATATGTTAGCTCACTCTTAATGAGAATTTGGAGTAAAATAAATCAGATCATCAGTTTATAATATGTCACTTCAAAATAATAAGTATAGAAATTCTGAGTAAGTTCCAAATGCAAAGCTCAGCTTTTACAAGTTTTCATTTGACAATAAAAAAGGAGTTATGCTTTTGATATAAAAAGTATACCTTGCCAAAACACAAAGTTTTTCGATTCACAGTGACAGGCCGAAATGGGAGGATGGTGGCTAACCTGAAACACAATTTGGTTGAGTCAAAAACATTTAATTTTCATTCCTAAGACAGTACAATTGTTATTGCAATATGAAAATACTAAATAGCTCATGTTGCTATGAAAACAGATACAACTTAAGTGATTGTACTTAAAACAGTTCCTAGTGATTACTATAAAGATGTATTCCTTCTAGCCCTTAATGAAGTCCACTCATATTAACAATATTTATTTACTTCTAAGAAAGCAAACCATTCTAAGTAGAAAGAAAAATGGGATTATATATAAAATGAAGAACAAAAAAGATAAATCTATACAGGAGTGTCTATCTAAAAACAAGGTTTACCTGCTCTGAGAAAAATCGAAATCCTTTGTCTTCTCTAATACATTCATAAGTTTCACCAAGCACTGGGTTAAATGGCTTGCTTCCTGCTCTAAAGTACGTAGAGGCATAGCCTGATGCTGCAAAGGCAGCTATGAGAACCTGTAAATATACAGATCAGAACATGAGAACAGGCAGACACTCTTGTGTATGTGCCACCACTGTGTGGTACCAACACAGCTCATTCTGCTCAGAGTGACAACTGGAATAATGAAGCATGCCTGAAAGCGACACCATGCATCCCAGCCAGAACCAGTATAAACTTTATTTCTTCTGTTGATATAATTTATTTTTCTTCATGGTCTCAGTCAGTCTTTTAACAGTCCCTTAAAATGACAACCTGCACATGACACAGTTTTTCTGCCTTTGACCAGGCTTAACATTAGTGACCTGAAACACACCCAAATCTAGTCCTGCTTCCTGTGAATAAATATTATGTAATAAATTCTGATTACAATATCACATGCCATTTTACTATGGGAACTATTTTATTTAGTGCCAAACATAAACAGCTCCCACTTAGCATGTTCTTAGCCCAGAGTTATCTCCAAATCTTCCACACATATGCAGCCTTAACAGCCAGCCCCCTTGTCTATATGTCCAACCACAATTTAATAATCTCTAAGCCAGGCCTGACTGGAAGTAATAAGTGAAGTGGCATGCAATGATTATTTAGTTTACAAGGTCTCATTTTCAGAGTTCAAAAAAAAAAATCACATCAGCCAGTCAGAAGTCCAAACAAAACTTCAGAAAACAACACAAAAATGAGTCAGCTATTGGCAATATGCTACAAATAGGGCAAATCTTAACCAGGTGCCCCTCTCCTCCTGCTAATGAGGACACAACCCTCATTTGAGGTTTTATGTGCTTTGTTTTTGTCCAACTGTGTAATCGGTGCTCCATTCTCTTTTCACGTTGTATTATTCAGAAATGCAGCATCAACAAAATTAACACTGTTTTCACAGGCTTTTCTTCAACAGTAAAAACCTTCATTCCTCTAAAACTGTTTTCAGATTAATTTCAACTTCCTTTGCAATTTACTATAAGACCATAAGTTAACTATGTAACTATAGTTAACTATAAGTTAACTCTGTTAACTCTGAAGAGTTAACTGCAGAGTTAACAGATTTACTATCCTTGCGATATAGAGAGCAGTGTGGAAAAAAAAGGTTTCCACTACTTTTGGATGCTTATTGAAGATAGCCAAGTCCTGTTCTTTCAGAGAACAGTGAACAAGCAGTAGCATAGTCACAGCATTCCTGCCACAAGCATTGGGTATTCAGCTCTTTTCCAAGCAGTCCCATAGGCTTCAGGTCAGATGTGCAGTTTGCGTTTTTATGGCTGCTGTTTAAAGATTTGGCTTCTACTCCTAAGTACTGCAGTAGACATCTGTAGCAGAGAAGGGGATTGAATCCACATTTCCAAGGAAGCTTTCAGTTGCACCATGGCTTCTCCTTCTTGAATTCTCCCTACTACTTCAATACTGACCTTCCAAACTTTTCAACAAAGGCAGCAATCAGTCTGCTTTACTCATTACTCCTTACACAATCTCCCTCCTCTTGCGAGGGACAGAATCACAGAATGATCTGAGTTGGAAGAGGTCCACTATGTAGGAAAACAGAATGTGAGGATGAATAATTCAACTCCCTTTCTCAAGATAGCTTCAATTTCTTCAGTGTTTAGGACTCCTCACTCTCCTGCAGGCCTTGTGAACAAAGTAGTAAAGAGACTTGTGTGTGATTGTGTGACAGCCAAAGGCAACCTCTCTCCTCCCAGTTATCCACAGTGCTGCCAAAACACAGCAAGAAACAGCAGACATCTCCAGCAACAACACTGCTAACTTTCCCTTACAGTCTTTCCCTGTATCTCCTGAGGAAAAGGAGACATGGCAGATCAAAGCACCCTGAAAGCTGAGCACAGGCTGCTGGCTGCCAGATTTACAAGTGGGCTGAAGTCAGGCTACCCAGGCAAATTTTGTTCTGGTGTTTTTAAACTTCTCTCTCAGAAATTGCCTGGGAGGACATCTTATTCACACCTATATTGATCATAATGCAGCCACAGACTTGACTAACTCTTGAAGGGTGCTGGATTTGACCACTGAAAGCCAGGAAAGGTTGCTGCAGAATTAGAAACTGCCAATGCACGTATCTACAGTCATAGAGCATGAGATCAATTGTAAATAAATGAGTTACAACTGCAGGACTTGGTTTGAGGTAAAAAAACATCCCACAGCCTTGCTCAGATCAAACCTACCACCTGTACTTGTTCACAACACTTTTGTGATCCAGCAGGGAGGCCTGTTGTCTGTGACCAGGAGGAGAAAGACAGGACCCTGCATAGACCCCACTGAACAGCTCCCTTTCTAACAGAGTCAGAAGTGCTACACTAAATGCATTACCATGCGCTCATAAGGATCATCTGTTTCAGCAGCCTTGTCCAAGAGTTCACTGTATTCCAGCTCTTCACAAAGGTGTTGCAAGGTATTCAGAGGTTCATTTAGCTCAACTGGCATGGATACTTTGGAAAGATCTTTGCCAATGTTATTTCTCAAAATATTCCACAGATTGATGTTACTGGTGTCAGGGCTGGGAGCTGGGAGACAAGTCCTCCGTCCATTTCTGAACGCACCTCCTGTCAGCTCACCATTAAGAACTGGGAAGGGAAGAAAAATATTGTCATAAGAAAATACCAGACTAAGAATAACAGAGTTCTCCATTCAACCAAATAACTGCCAGAACAAGCAAGCCCAACTTCATTGTTTTCAGCTGAGTTGGACTTGTTTTGACATGCAGTAATTCTGGTACATGAATATAACCAAGGTAATTTCTTAAAGTTTGAAACACAGTATACTTTGCCGAGAAATGTTGTCTGCAACACTGGTGTTGTCCTCAGATATATTGTCACTCACATCACTGATATAAGATTCGTCATCAGAAGCCTAAAACATAAATAAAATATCCATTAACTCAAATACATATAAAATATACTGACAAAAGAGACAAAAATAATTAACTGAAACACAAATATTAAAAAAAAATCTTTATCCAATTAAAACTATTAGCTAAGTGAACTGAATGTTTCAATCTGTCCATAGTGTCAATGCACTAAAAGGGTCAAGAAAAATGCTACGTTGTCCTCACATTTCTGAATTCCTTATTATCCAAATACAGACATGACATCTGCAAAAGGTGGCTTCAAGTAAGATCAAGGATGAGAAGAAATTGATAACATAATGCACTAGGCATGGGAGGTGAGAAGAGATAGTCAGATTTGTGCTGTTTATAAAGAACCAAACAATAAAACGTGACTTACGTTTCAGCAAACAAATTATGTAAATATTGATCTATCATTTTGCAAAACAAGAATCTCATCAGCATTAAGAATATTTTCATTTTTTTTTACAAAACTGTTTTTTCAAGAAATATTACTTTTTTGTCTATTTCTCTCATTACAGAGCATAATTTTATATACATATGTAGTAGAAGATTGTTTTTATAAAGAATATTTGAAAATCTAAATTTAATTGACTGCACAGCCAGCTGTAACTGTCTGTCATCCTTCAGTGGAACTGCCATAGCCTAGAAAGGACATGTGCTAAACCTAAGTTACTGACATAACGAAGTTCCAACTCACTTTTACACTTCAGGGAACTCCTGCACCACTTTATGTGGTGCAGGAGTTTGTTTATCTACACTTTACACATTTTATTCTAACTAGCATTACTAAAAATAAAAAAAAAAATCACTAGTGGTAGCATTACCTAACTGTGTCCAGCAGCACAGCTGCCACACGCTGTCACAGCCTACCTCGTTTTCTGACGAGCTGGCAGATAGAAGCACCTCCTGTGCATCAAAGAACTCTGAAACAGATTCAGACATAGAGAGCCTGCTTTCATTAGAAACTTGCTGAGACAGTGGCAAACTGACATGAATTTGTTCACCTGTCTGTAAATAAAGCACAGAAAAGTAAAAGCATTATTTCTCATATTAAAGAAACACATGTAAAAGGGGTAAATCACCTGAGTAAGATTTATACACCAAATACAAGCACAGAGAGTAAAGACAGCATTTTAGTAGGACTTTGTGTGTACCTAACGGATGAGTCTGAGGATGGCAAAGTAAAGTGCATTTTGAACAGTGAGATACATATCTTCATTTGAGGCCTGCCCAGCATCTACTGCCAAATTTTAGCAGCATGAAATTGCAGATCTCTATGCAGAGAATTGATTTTGTGGACAATAGCTGGATTGTGTCAGACAAATTCAGCCATTAAGTTCAGATTAAATTACCTCTAGTAATAACAAATAACATCACTGAAGCTAGCTTTGATACAACTAAAATTTAATTATAAAGATTTATAAGGTCTGGGAGTTATAAGTTACTTTCCAAATAAATGATCTTGTAAACCAGTTTAGTAACAATATTTGAAATGTTTGAATATTTAGGAGGATAGCTATAACATGTATTTTTATGGGCTTTTATTCTATTTTTATACTCCTAATCTCATTTGCATTATGCCATTAACACTGACCCACTACTACTAAAAGAAATGAACTCTCTATGGTTTATTATAAAGAAATGTAACACCAGAGTCAAAAAGGATTCAAAATTATGCTATGTTGATGTCAGTAGCGCAGCAGGCTTAAACAGTGAAATATACCCTCTGCCTGCTAGAGTGGGTGGGTGGGACACCAGATTTCAATGTTACCCTGCAGGCTATCACATTAAGAAAAAGATTAAGATGCTCTCCCTGTACCATTTTACCACAGGATCTCTTGCTGTGGAGGGAAACAGGTCTTGGACTTAATCCCTTAATTCATACAGCATGTTTTCCCTGGGAGATAATACAGATGAAACTACTGAAGCCCTTTTAAACACATTTAACTCTCCAGATTGCAACACAATCCCAGTTAATCTTATTCCAGAATTCCTGCATGCAGTTTTGTTGACATCTTAATTCTGCAGAATTATTCCATACAGTTACCTCAAAAAGCACTAACAAAACATCCCAAAAAAGCATAAACAAGCCAAGAGGTCAAACCCCATTCTTTTTCATTAGGATTTATAAGATTGTAGATGGATTGTAATGCTTGATGACTCATAATGAAAACAGAGTCTCATTTTACTGTAATCATTATAGGAAGTGACCAAAATTTTGAGGTTTCACATAAACTAGGGGGACTTGGAAAAATACATATGCTCCTACCTGAAAAAGACCCTCACACAGGCATTAACTACTGCAAGATTATAGAGATATATATAAAACAAGCAAGATAAGTGAATGAGAGATCTGGAAACTGAAAAACTTCTTCAGTCAGGCTCACTTCTACCAAGACAATGATGAACAAGTGAAAAAGGAACAGCTAACCAACAAAAATACAGAACAGAAGAGGTCATTGCCCAGAACTTCACTGTAGATTGGTGTGCTGTGGCACCACTTCACTTCTATGTTCTGTTGCTAGCCTCCAACATGCTGGATTCTTGGAAAAATTGTTTAGACATTTTCAGAAAGCAAATAAACAATTTTACCTTTCTTGCTTGTTGGAAGAAATAACTATGAGACAAGACTATGTTAATTGAAATGGCATGTGCATAGGAAAAAATAGTGGAAATGAAAAATCAAAAACATTTTTGTAAAATGCAAGCAGAATGGTTGCCAAAGTGACCATACTAATTGTAATATATTACAGTCCACAAATTCAGATTTGTCACAAGGGAAGCTCTCACTGTTATTTATACAAATGTTTGTTAATCTGTTGACTAAGGAAAGCAAAACAAGAAAAACTAGATGTTGCAAAAATATTAGTGCAGTGCTTGGTTCATGGACTAAACCTTCTGATTCTAATAGTACCACTAAAGATTCTAAACATGAGGCCCTTTAGACACTTGCAAAATCAGGTAATTATTTAATTAATTGTTCTGTTGATTTGGCAAGAAACTAAGGTACAGAATTGGTTAGCTACTGTGTGATACATTCAAATACAGTAAAACCTCACTAATTCCCACAGCCAACAATTAATATTCCAAAACTGGAGTCCTGCTCTGTTCCTCTAAAGAGACCAAGCTGAGATCTTTCATGTCTGACGTACGGAAAACAAAAGACTGAAGTTTTATTGTAGTTAAGGAAATACAGCCTGACTTTTTCTATGATTGAACATTCGCCAATGTGAAAAATTCATTAATTTTTCAGGTGTGTTTCAGCTATTTAGTGAGAATTAGCAAGGTTTGTTTGTACTCTAAATCCATTAAAGGCCAAAGTCTTACCTCATCAGGACTAGGGATAATATTTACACTGACAACCTGATCACAAATAACAGATTCTGAATGTATTCTGTTCAAGCGACTCCTTAGTTCAGCATTCTGGTTGAGAGCCTTAAAATAAAAATTGCACATTTCATTTAAAATTAAAATTTAAGCATTTAAAAAAAAAAGAAAAAAACAAAAGAAGAAGAAAAAAACTTTCTTTCCAGCAATTTCCTAAAAAAATCACAGAACCTCCTTTCCTTCATTTATAGGGAGATACCTATTTTGAGATCCTCTCCAACATGATTTCATCTTTGGTTACTTTGCCTTCACTGTTTTTCAGGAGGGGGGGGGGACAGATGTTCTCCCACAATGTAACACTGGCATTCCACCTCAGTTCTTCAGAGGAGCTCTTTGGCAGGTGTACTGGTGGGTTATGCACATTATGGAAATGGGGAGTGAACGCAGCAACAAAGAGTGAAACTGCAGAACAATACATGGGAGCTACCCACAAAATGCCCAAAGAGGCAACTGTGGGTTTACAACTACACAGCCTCTTCTGAGTCAAGGTTATCAGCACTCAGAGGCTGCAAACAGAAATTGCTTCCTTTCCCGTAAAACCAACATAATTGCTAGATCAGTTTTACAGGTTTACCCTTGTACTTATTTCAAACTAATGATCCACTACAGTATCACAAATACCAACAGAATTCAACTGGTGTCTGCTATCTGCTGATTTTTCTCCTATTTTAAAGTCCAACCTAGATTATAAATTTGGGTGCACAAATATGTATTGTCTGTTGGTTGGAAAGACTAGTGGGTGAGATTCTGAAATCCAGAAGTATAATATGCTACATATCTAGAACATGGCTGACTTAACTTTAATATAGCCCCAACACTGAGGCTTACAGAAAAGCAGAACAGAGAGACATTTTGTTTCAGTAGAAAAGGATAATTAAAATGGAGTAAGAACCTTCTTCTGTCTCCCCCTACTGCAGATTGAGGAATAGATTGCATGAATGTACTAAAGCAAAGAAAGATCAAAGGAAAACAGGTAAGCTTAAACTGTCCTTGAACGGTTTAAATTACCCAATTTTGCTTTGCTCTGAAATGGTCTGAGCATGTTCCTAGTGGCCATCCCTCAGAGAGGGAAGGTAATGATTAACAGCAGCCTGACAGTAGCTTCTTCAACAGCTCAGCCCTGGTCTCGAGACTGCACAAACCCAGTCACAGTCTATTTTCCACATTAGTTCACAGCCTATTTTCATGAGGCTGTGAACTAATGTGTGACAGTGACTTTCAAACTAACCTTGGAAGGACTAAGAAGAAAACATGATTCCCTATTTCATGCAAGTTGCTAATGAATATCCACATTTCTTAGATGAATTTGTGTCAATAACCAGAAATAGCTACCCTTATCTCTTGCTCCTAACCCTATTTAATCACAATGCACAGAAATCAATCTGCATAACATGATACCTATCTATAGAAAGGTTTGTCTTTAAACATCTGCTCATACTTCTTGCAGATGCAGTCCTCCACACCAATCCAGCAAATGCTTTTATGCTTCCTTGACAATGAATTTTGAAAAATTGTTATTTTCCAAAACTTTATTTATTTTGCAACCTGAGGACTTATTTTTGCTAATTTCTTCTCCCCCACTAAAGCAAATTATATTTTTTCCTTTAGCTTAAGTGGGAGAAATGCTGGAGAGTTAAAAAGTCTGTATCTGGAAATCCAAATTACCATGATTATATTGCAACCCAGGATTCCTTTTGCATTTAGAGACACGGACATATAAAACAAACTTGACAATATACAGTCAAAATTTAAAACTTAATTACAAAAACATCACTATTTCCTTGGCTGTGCTGGAACAGCTTCAAGAAAGACATTTAGCATTTATATAAAAATCCTTTTTCTTTACTTTGGAAAACCGTAACAGATACGTCCTTACACAAATGATATCCTTCACCTCACATGCAGTGAGGTTAGATTTAAATCATAACAGAGTATGCCATAGTTCTGGCTGAGAACTTGGCTTTTTCTTGGCTCCTTTGAGGTGAAAGGAAATGGCCAAAATACAAAAGAAATAGTGCACTGGGCAAGATAGATGTGCTTGAGATCAAATCAAGAACATACCTGAGAGAGGGACTGTCTGAGGTGAGCTATTTGAGCATTGTGGCCTGTAAGATCCTGCTCTGAAACAATCTGTTTAAGCTTCTCCTTCTCTATAGCTATGCTGTTAAACGCGGACTTCAAAAGAGAATGCACTAAGCAAAAAGAAAAAAAAATAAAACAGGTGTTTTCTTGGCTACAGAAATCACATTGACATCTCTTACAATATTTCAGCAATAAAGACAGCGTGAGACTTCCATCACACAGTAATGTACATTTGAAACAAGGGCCTGAACTTCAAGTAATCCATGCCAAATTAAGTACAAACACTTACAGCTTGCGATTGCAATGTGCGTACTGTATGCTCACACATATCTCATCTGAGCATATTCTTGGTGCTGAACATATGGAAAGGTGCACATTTGGAAAAACTGTGTCCAATGTGTCTTATTTTCTTTCTGGTTTTTATTTGTACTTTTCAGAGTAACAGAAACATTAGTTCTGCTAGACATAATATTGTACTAATAAAGAGGATTGCTTGGTCTTTAAACAGGTTTAGAATTTTTTAAGATGTCAGTCTCACATTTTTTTCTATGCTTGTTATATAACAGCAAACTGATAAGAAAACCTTCTTAAAATGGTATTTTTTAGTTTGTAGGACCATTCACTTACAGGCAATAAAATTACAATTCAAAAGAACATCCCTGTAATAAGCTCTTTTCCCATTGATTCCATTGACATAGAAAACATTGCACAAAAATGATTTCACGGGATTATGTGCAGAAGTTACATTCTGAATCATCTTTGGGAAGAAATAATACATTTTGTTGAAGAAAAAAAAATGTTTGCAAATTCAGTCACTTATTTAGAGAATGGAGAAAGCAGTTCAGAAGACTTGGAAAACAATTTCAGAGTTTACCCCTCTCTACATTTATGACATGCATGGAAAATATAAGAAGGTTAATATAAATTGCCTTTGTGTAAGCCACCTGAACAGCTAAAAACTCTTACACAGCATCATCCAATGCAAATGGAAGCCGTGACCACAACTAAGTGAGGGGCAATAACGAAACACAACAGAGAAGCACACTACAGGGAAGGCTTGGCATCTCCAGCTACCTTTTTGTGCCATCAAGCAGAATTCTTCTTGAAGCTTCATGTACTCAGTAGAGCACTCCAGAGGGTCTGCCACATGGCTCGGGGGAGCCTGAAACTCAATGTCTGCACAGAGGTTGGGGTTGGATGAATGCAATCGAACAGGTGACATCGTAGCACTGAAAGGGACCTACAGCGAGAAACAGAGAAGAATTGTTGTATAAGCTGTAAACAAACTTTTGACTCTTTTGAAGCAAAACAACATTTTTTTTCTGAAAATACTTAGTTCACAATGTGAATACGGCAAGAGTGAACTTGTAACTTCTCACTCTCCTAAATCTCAGCACAGCTGATGCAGATTTCTCTTTAATTTCTTCACTGAGATAGAAAAAAGAAGGCCTAAACACACAGCTAACAGCTAATGAATTTAAATTCTAACGTTTATAAAAAATGGATGATTTCCTAATGCTTAGAAGATTACTGGAAAACTGAGCCATGAGACATGTCCTTTATATATGGACATTTGAGAGTAATTGTAGATGAGTCTGTTGTTGCAATACCAACATTCGAAGTATGTAAGTTCCTCCACAGATCCAGAAATAGGATATAATATTATCAGATATACCACTGAAGTTTTTCAAAAGTACCTGTAAATTTTCAGTTGAAACTCACTGTACTGGCAATTATGAAGAGGGAAGAAGCATACAGTCTTTCTATTTTTTTTAACTAAACAAATAAACAATGACAACAAAATAAAATCAAAACTCCGCCTGATTTGCATTTAAAATACATGGACCATAAATAAATGCAGAGAGATATAGCTTAGTAAGATGGAGCAAAGAATTTAGTTTATCATCTTTCCACTTCACTTTCTCCTTTACTTTTCAGGTACAGTAATAAAAAAAAAAAGTACATGCAAGACTTTCTAAGTTGTATATACATGTATCGTGTACTGAGCAGTTATCTCTATGCTACATATGCACTGTATGGCTACCACTGCTATGTAAGTGATGCGTGTGCAAGAGTATTTTGTATTTTACTTAAATGTTACCATTTACATGCATTCATGTGAAAATCAGGCCAAAAACACAATTTTCAACTGTAAAGCAACAGAAAGACATGCAGAACTACATTTTGTTATTAACCACTGTTTAATGTATCAAGCACTGGTTAGTACATTAAATCGAATTAATTTCATTAGATTGATCCAATGCGTAAAGCAAGAATTTCACACTGCAGCCCAATGTAATTATTCAAATATGAAAAATGGGGCAAAAATATAAAATGTCTCTTCCAAGGCATGATAAAGAGCAGAAGATAACTTAAAAAGTCATATTACTAAGAATTAGTATCAACAGATGAGTTCTAGAACCACTGTCAGCAGTGGTTGAACTTGGTACTTTGTTATTTGATTAGATCAGGAAACAGTTTTATCAATCCCTTCCTGTAAAAACTGACATCAGTACACAGTTTAGGTTTAGGTTCTGATTCTTCAATGAAACCCTCAAAATCTTGTTGGATCTATTAATCATTCCACTCATGAGTTACTCTGTGAAATATGTTTTCCACTCTGTTCTTTCTCAGTTTCCAGGTACATATAGTACATTAAATAATAACCCTATGGCACCTATCTAATATAAGCTTTATTCCTGCTCTCATGTATTTTGATTTCCAGCTATATCAACAAAGTACATATTTTTTTACTAGACCTCATTTTATCCTCATGTCAAGAAGAATTTGTTAACAGAAGATGTAAAATAAATTCCTTCTATTCATACTAGATATATGTATATATGTAACCCTTTATCTTCTTCACAATTACCAGAACACCTGTCTCAAGAGCCCAGCAACATTAGGTAAATGGACTACTGTGGCTAAATGTAGGTTAATTTCAAATTTTTTTCCCAAAAATTTTCCTTTCCCTAAATGGGAGAGCATGTTTCCAGAACTTTGACTGGGAGCATCACAAAGCTTCAACTGCTCCAGGAGGGCAGAGTAGGCATCTACACTGTACCTGCGTTTATGGAGAACACACCCAACCCTCCAGACCATCCAGAAGGCAGGAAAGTAGCTGACACCAGCTGTCATGCCAGAGCTTGAGGGAGAGTCTCCCCAGCCCCCACCAGCCTGTGGTGATGGGGGAGGTTCCCCAGACCCACAGGGACTGGCAGAGCTACAGGCAGGCTGCCCCACACATGCAGCGTGCTCTTTAGTCACTGATCAACCAAGCTGAAGAGATCTGCTTTAGATCCACCATTTCTACCTCAAACCTCAGCTGGCCAGGCTGAAAAGAATGGTTTCTGCAATGATGTTTATTGAAAAATTACTATTTTCAATTATGCCCTAGAAATGGAATTTACATCTTCTACAAATATGTCACACTACTTGCAAGAAATACACATTCACATGGCAGAGACAGGTAGCCTTGCTGACTGCTTTAAATTCAAGAACCAAAAATACTGAACTGCTGATTGACATGAACTCTCCTTGTAAGCATTTTTTAGAAACGTTTCCAAGCTACTTTCCATAACAGATGAAAATAAAACCACATTAAACAGCCATTTTCATTCTCTTGAATAGGCAACAGTCCAGGAAGCACTGCCAATGTAATTCTCTTCCCCTTTTCTCCTTACATGGCTGTGCTTTCTCTCTGTATTAATGGTGACTTGATCCTGACTTTACTACCCATTCGCTTTTTGGTTGTTTTTTCTTGTTGTTGTCTTGAAGGTTTTTGAAAAAATATTTAGCTTCTTGATCCATCTCTCCAGTTTTCTCCATAGAGACACTTCTAGACATAACCTCAGATGAACCTTGTCCCAACTTCCTGCTTTACACCAGGGGCGTTGCACCCACTCATCCATCACCTTCCTCGGAATTACAGGCTCAGTTAGGAACAGACTGTTCCTGGCCGAGTGGGTTGTAAGGAAAACCTCTTCCTGCTGTGCATTTAGCTGATATAATCCTGCATCCCTCAGTCTATGCACACAGCTTCACTGTCTGGGAGAAACAACCATTTTGTGCATTAGCCAGGAAGAACAGGCCATGGCCAGGAACACTGCAACAGCCTCAGAGTCATTTTGGTGCCTCTAGCTCTCCTTCCTCTTGCATTTTCTTCCAGCTCCTCCAAAACCTCCCTCAACAGGTCCTCACTCGGGCTGCAGGTAACAACTCAGCCATTCCCTGCTCTCCGAGTGCCTTCCAACCCCAGTCCAGCTGCATTTGTCTACTGAAGCACTCCCTGGGTAAGGAGTACAGCCCTTGCCAAGGCTGTTTAACGCTGCTGAGCCTTCTGGTCAGAGCCTCCCACCAACACTGCTCAGCCCTGTAAACTGGGAATCAGGCAGACTTATCTAGGCAGGCAGAACAACACAGTCAAAACAGCAATCAATTACAGAGCACGCATTCAGCACCAACTGATTACAGAGGAATAAATTTAGATGAGTTAATTTTGAAGCTGGATAAACACTGATATGTCTCATATGTTTTAAAAGAGCATAGCAATAACTGAATTTGTGGTTCAGGTAGCAGAAGCTCAAGATAGCTATGCTTAAGCAGAAACTATGTCAAATCTAGGCGATTTTAGCTTCTGCCTGGAACAGTTGGAATACTTCAGCCTGGTGAAGACATTCACTGCTCGGGCTAGATAAAGAGTTTGCATTTAAAGCTCACTTCAGTCTTTGGCTGAACAGTCCTCCCTATCTAGCTGTTGTACTTATCTGTTGATGGATTAGTACAAATGTCTATATTGGGCCTTCCTAATGAGTATTTTCTTGATAAAGCAGCAGCTGAAGACATCCTCTTGATGGCAATTCAATTTCACAAACAGGACTTCTCACAACTAACTCCCAGACCTGGTGCTGATTTCATAGCTCCCTATTTTCTGACAAAGACTTAGAGAATTAGCAAAACTATATACAGACACTGAGGTAGTAATATGACTTTTTGGGATTATGGAACATAAACAGAAAGTGCCTCAAAAAGAAAGGCTAACCTTATACTACTTATAAAAATATCAGGAAATTTTATAATTTCAAGGATATTTGCATCAAATCTCCTTAGCTCTTTTGTCTTGCTAAAACTGTCACAACATCTTTTAACAGAATTTGATTTTCTTTTTCCCCATTTTGTATAGTCTGTCAAAGACTTATTGCGTGCAGGGCCTGAGTCTGTCATTTGCACTTACATAAAGGAGGAGGGACATGTGCCATGTAAACGAGCTCAGACCCACGTTTATGGAACACATTTGTGTTGGGCCTGACCCCTTCTAAGAAACTCAGCTGAAAGAGGGTAGCATGGACACCTCGAAAAAGTGCAAGGAACATTTTCATAAGCTTATTACACAGTCAAGTTACACAGCTTCCCATCCTTAGAGCTATCCCTTGATTTTTAAATCCACTCACTGTTGTAGCCACGGCAGCTGCCAGTCTCTGCCGGCGTCGTGTTGTGCTGAACTGGCCCTTCGGTGCCGGCCCTTCCTGACAGTGAATGCAAGAAAAGAAGGAAGTAGAAAGAGAGAAGGGAAGGGGTGATGGGACACAGGAAGATGAAAGGTGATCAGAAAAGGGAGAGGGAGAGTCTTTAAGTGGGTTTCCATTTTGTTAACTCTTATGGCCTAAACATGTTGAGGACATATCACGTGTTTTCAGCTGTGCATGCCAGAGACATAAAAAGCTGGATACTTCACTAAAATTATCTCCAGATGAGTTGGACTGCAGTGCACTCACTAAGGCTACAAAAAAAAAATCAACTAGCATTGCCATTCAGAGTTATAAGGCAATTATGGAATAAGAGAACAAAAAGGATGCTACAGCATGCCAGAAAATAAAACAAAAATCAAACTCCTTTTGGAGCCGCTTGACCATTTAGAAGATGAATTCTGAAAGAGATCCCTTTGCAATAGTGGAAGTGCATAAACTGTGGTCACTGAAGATGCATGTGGCTGAATGGTAAAATTTTTCAGTGTGTTATGTTATCTAGTGAGTTTTCTTAAGTAAACATTCCTGTACATAGCTCTGGCATTTCCACATCCATCCTTCAGCCTATTGAATCCTTTTCTCCATAAATTACTTTTAAAGTTCCACCTGTTTTTCCCATACATTATTGAAGCCTTGACTTCCAAACCAAGGCAAAAACTCAGATAAAGGAGCACAAATAAAAACTAAGTATTTCAACAACTGCTTCCTTTTCTGCATGTCTAACTTGTGGCCTTGTCCTGCTTAATTTTACATTTATTTTACTTGCAAGAAAATTTTTCACAGTACATTGAAGTCAAGCAAGTAACTGTCTAAGGCAGAGGAGCTCCACATCTGTCATGAAGTCATTCTATTTAATCTTTAATCAAAATACCAATATTTTGAAGCCATTTTAAGATTTTGGAAGACTAGGAAATACACCTTTCTGCCTTTAGAAAACAATTCTCAATTCCTTTACATTTTTCTTCCCCTGTATCCTCTAGCCACTACATCATTATTAGATCTATGCACATTTTTACTTTTTCTGCAAGAAGCCTGATGGTCATACAAATAACAACGTGTAGATTGGATACATGGACACCATGCTTAGGACAGGATATTGTATTTCAATTATTAGCCGAACTGTCTTCTTTCTATAACCTTCCCAGCAGGGTTGCTACAGTGGAAAATGGCCAAGCACTTCACCCTCTGGCTGATATTAGTGGCAGTGCCACTGACATTTGGAAGGGTTTTCTAATGACCACAGCACAAGACTTGCGTTGCAATATTTTATACAATTCTCACATTAAAATGACATGTGCATAACCTCTAAAATACTGAGAACAAACTCTGTTAAAGCAGAGAACAGATCACAGGCATAATGTAAAGCTCTTTGTGCTCCACAAAAATATTTCGATCCTGTGAATAAGATTGTGGAAGAATATTCTTATTTAAATAGTAGGGACAGACCTATGTACAGAGAGAGAGATGCACAAATTTATATGTACATAAGATTATTAATGAAGGTATGCATTATTAAAATGGGAATAGTCAGTTTTGCAGAACCATACACTCTCCTTAACACAATAGAAAGTGAGGTCATAATCTGAGTTGCCACAAAAAGAAATACTTACTTAAGGGAAAAGGTAATAACTAGTCTGGGTCTGGTTTCAGTTCTGACCTGAAAGCCTCAGTAAAGCAAGATGATTTTTCAGATTACTCCATAACACACAGCTCTCTATTAAACTATTTCCCCTGTGAAGTCGTGAACTTTAGAACTTTGAGCTTTTGTGGGAAACCAAAATATCACTGATTCTTTATTGTTTTGCAGTAATGTCTTTTTTTCCTTCCTTTGAAGCTGTCATGAGAATGAGAACTTAGCCTTTAACTCAAAGGGAAACCATTATCAATTTTTAAAAAACCACAAAAAAGCACAAATAATCCCCAAAACAAAACCCATGACTCAGTTCTTGCACAAAAGTATAATTTGTCAAATGAATTAATACAGATCAACTAACCTGTTGTTGCAGGCCATTTTCACAAAATTTTAAATAAGCTTTTTAAAAACAAAATGAACCTCCTTCATAAAAGTAATCTTTCTTAAGAGAAGCAATGAATGTATTACTCTTGAGTAAAGTCCTGTAAATTCAGCTGTTAATTTCAAACAACTTAGCAACAGTAAACACCCAAACCTGCAAAGGTATAGACATATGCTATGTTTAGTTTTACTTCAGGGAGTAACCCCACTCAAGTTACAGGGATCAGCTGTGTGGTCAAAGTCAACTGCACACAAAACTGGCATATTTCAGTGGTAAATATTAATGTCTAGGAAACAAACCAAGCAGCTTTACTTACAGGAAAAAGTATGTTTTACATACATCATGCACCTAGCATTCATACTGCAAGAATGTGTTAGCAGGAATCCAACAAAAGCTATCTCATTAACAAAAGAATGTTCGCAAGTACAATCCAAAACCTGGACGGGAGAATTCCCTCCTTGCCTCATATGCAGAGGATACTGAGCCAGCAGAAATCACATCCTCATTCCCCATCACTCACAAAGCACACACCTTTATATAAAGCTCCCTAATTTTATGCTCCCCAGAAAGATTCTCTCAACATTGTACTATCACAACATCTTTGGTGTAGTTAAAAACTGCTCAATCTTAAAAAAACAGGTGCAAGTACTGCAAATGGAATTAACAGTGAAATTAGCTTAAAGTTAGTTTGTTAAAATTAGCATTATTCCCTAAAACTAACAAGATGAATGGAGGTATGAGGAAAGTAATAGTACAACAGAAATCTTACTAGTACCAAATGTCAACCATTCAATAGCAAATCATGTGTGAGCATCATGAAAACAATGATCACAAATCAGACAAAATGATTCTCAGTAGGGGATATCCTGATAAACAGTTCAGAAAGACTTGAAGCAGCCTTGAAAAAATGAACAATAAGGAAGACCAAGAAGCAGAAGGAGTGTCTAACAGAAGAACAAAATGGGAAATAGCTTGAAGGGCTTGTAGACATCAGAAGACATCCACATTTTAGCGGCAGCCTAAGCCAATTAGGAATAACACAATGAGTCAGTGAGGCCATCTTCCTACAGACCACAGATCTAGCACTCAGGAGACAGGACAGCCCTTGGAAGAATAAACTGAGACTATCGAACTAGACAAGATAATGGAGTAGCCCTCCAGTATTCTTGTCTTCCATGCAATTTAGAACAATTTTATTGCTTCTGTTTCACTGCAAATTAATTTATAGATCAGACAAAAATAACTTAATACTGAGCAATAACAAAAAACCTTTATATTTGCAGCATGAACCTTGGCAGGAATTAATGCTGACCCAAGTTAGGCAGAGTTCATTATCAATCCAGAAGTGACAGACCAATATAGAGCAGTGCCATGCACACAAACTCTCTCAGGGGAACCCTATTTGAAATTTTCAGGAGCTGAGGGACACCCCTGCCAAGCCACAAAAAGCAGTTTGATGGGAGCCCAGTCCAGTGCTACCTATGGGAATAATACATTGACTGCTTTCATCACTTCTGTGGATAGGACTTCTCTGAGGTTACTGTGGCATGAAAGAAGAACATGCAGTGGTGACTGACTTCACAGGCACGAGGTACTTGCATGCATTTTACCGATATTTTAATTTCCCTGTGTTATTCTGCACCAGGGAAAAACTGTGATCCTTCAACTGCATGACATGACATCAATCACAAAAATTCTTTTGTTAATAAACCATTTTAATCCCAACAGATGCTTCATTGTTCTTCATTAGAATGCTATTGTGATTATCAAAATATAATAGGTGAAAAGAAAAATAAACTACAAGAGCTGCAATGAGAAAGCTGATGCAACTGTCACCTCTTCCTTCCTTAAGATTATTGATCTTAAATGAAAACTCCTTAATGTGCCTATTGGGGACCTATTAAAAGCTTTCAAAGTTTGTACTAATTTCAAGATATTTGAATGGATTAAAAGTTGCTGGCATTCATTCACTCAGTAGCAGACATCACAGTGGTGATTGCTGGCTCCCAAAGCCAGTTCAACAGTCCTCATTATCAGTTGCTTAATTATAAAAAAAGATCAGATTTTGGATCAAACCTCAGAACACACAAGTGCTTCCAACAAAACACAAGGCAGCAATACATGCACATTATGCTTTCAGTTCTAGGGAAGGATGGAGTAAATTCTTCCTTCACATAATCTATTTCTTGGTTATTTTATTTGTTCCCATATTAGCCTCTTCCATGACAGAAGGCTTGTGAAAGCACTTATAACTGGTAATATTCCAAGTACAGGTCTTGACAAAGACTAGTGGTGTGTTTAGTATTTCATTCTGCTTTTAACTTGATATCACTTGTACACTTGAAGGCAGTTGCCCTTCTTTGCAACTTTGATTTGGAATAGCAGTATCCCCATATGGTGTGTGTATATTGAGTTTTGAATACCTTAATTAACTAATATTCAGATCCCCCTCCTTTCCCTAGATGGCAATGTTTTCATATGAATGAAAATAAAATCAGTACTTTTCTCACTATCTTCTCTAGGTTTTGAACAACAAACTGAGATTTAATTTACTTCATCAGAAACATGAAAGACAGCACACTGACTTCCTATTTTCAGCTAATACATCAATTCATGCTTAGAATTTAATCTTAAAGTACACTGAAAAGTAAAACATAGTGCATTCAGTACCTGAAGTTGAATTTTTGCATCTTTGCTGACACTTTTTGTTCTCCATCGTCTCGTGACCCGCTTGTCTTTCTTTGAAATATCTACACAGTTAGCCTACATTGCACAAATAGTTAAAAGCAACAAAGTGCTATTAAGTAGACACAAGCAACACAGACAATACAACAAGTTAGTAAAGAATTGTAGCATTAGACAGGTACAAATTAGAAAGTAAGGAGAAGAACGCTGCTGCTAGGCCCGAAATTGGAGCAGGGATCAGCTGTAGCTATCTGTACACTTTCATAAACACGTGGTACAGTTAGCTCCTTCAGCAAAACTACTGGTGCCCTTTCTTTTCATGGGTACATAATATTTAGGACACAATCTTGAAACCCTTATGGATTTCTATTGTGGTACTACTCAGACATTTGTACAGACAAGAAGATTCAGTGAAAATGGAAGAAAGTATTTAAGATTTAGGATCTGCTGTTGCTTTCTGGTAAAAGGAAAACTCACCCTGAACTGGGAAACAGTCCAAAACTTGGGACCTTTGTACTATGCCCCCTTTTCTAGAGCATGCAACTTCATCTTTGAGGGTCTTTGGGTGTCCAATCCTTAAAAAACCTAAAATGTTATCTTAACACAACAAAATCTCCTTAAATATAACTTCAATTTATACATGTGTTCTATTGCAACAGTCCTCATTTTGTTTTGCAAATTAATTAATCATTTCATTTTTCCTATTTAAGTCAAATACTGAATACATCTTAATTACTTGTTTACACATGAAACAGAAACAGTATTACACAAGATCAAAACAGACATATAAGATAAGCATTTCATCCAAGATTCACTATTACTTCAGAAAAATATTCTGAGTTAACAGACAACACCCCTATATTTCCCTTAACAGAAAGAACAAATATTTCAGTGTAATGATTTATGTTCAATCATATTTACCTGCATGTCTGTGAAATTTGGTGCTGACTGAGTCCTCTGTAATATTTCTAAATTTTGGAGAAGTTTACTGAGTTCCACAAGGTTAGACTGACAATGAGCAAGATCTAAGAGATATAAAGTAAAAATATATTAAGTGCTTCAATTCAGATTTTATTGCCATGGTGTCCATTGTTTGCACTTATTTACATTATAAAAGTTAAGTGTCCAAACCCCTTGTAGTAAGGTATCCAAGCAAAAGTTTTATTTTGTTGGACACGTGTTATTTCTACAGGAGTCAGCAACAACTCTGGACCTCAAGAAGTGATCACATTTGAACAACGACATCCACCAAAATAGCACAGATTATTAGAATAAATTTAAAAGCAACATCCCAAAACATATAGACAGCATAGTTCTCACCATGAGGTAAATATTTCCAATTACCTGAAGAGCTACTACATGTTCATATAAAGATGTTACTTAACCACTTTACTTACAAGACTCTTTCTTATATCAACCAGTGGTTTTGCTGAAAGAACAAGACATGAAAAGATAAAGTCTAACCTTCTGCACATCTGTCCATCTCTTCAGAGTCCTGCAACCAGGCTGCTACTTTACTCTGACCAGTAGTGCAGGTGACAGGAAGGCTGTTACTGCAAGGTATAGGAGGCTGCCAGGGGAAGTTGTTTTGTTGCACCTAAAGCATAATAAATGCTTACATTTACTTTGGCTGTGTGGCTTTGTCAGTGTAATGGCTATATTACTTCAGAATAGAAACCAAATTATGCATTGCATTTTCAGTGAAATCTGTGGTTTGTCTCCACAGCTCCCAAAGACACAGATTTTTCAGAATAGCATCTTGGAGAATCAAACTAGGAACCTCACAAGTGGACTGTGCTAGGTACACTTAGGAATGCTGTTGTTTAAGAGGGAGAACATAATCAGCAGAGAGACAGATTTATACCTGATGTCAAAGGCTAGTGCAAATTGTATGGGTGGTGAATACTTTGCAAGATCTCTTCAGCAGCCCATTCTAATGAAGTAAGGCTAAATTAGAGAGTATTTCAGCTGATTTCAGCTGCACACCCTCACAGCTTTTCTCTCGCCATAGGCTCCCACAGTGGAAGCTCCTGTCCTTTTGGCATTAGAAGAAAAGCCCACTGAAACTGGCCATAAGCAAGCCAGGAGTTTTCAACCAAAGAACACTGCACACCTTTCCATCTGACACATTGGCAGCTGGTGAAGACTCTGTAGTAGATGCTGAGGGGAATATGTGGAAGCTGGCATCCCTGGGAGACCTTACAATCTCGTTCTGACGGTACAGCCGGTGGTGCCGCAACTTTGAAACCCATGCATCAAACGAATCCTGTGATTTCACCTGGAGAAAAATTTACCGTCAAGAAAGCATCCAAGATACTCCTTTTCTGCCCAATCTTTTACAATTTTATTTGTTTCTACTGAGGATGAAAAAACAGAATGTAGTTTTACTTTTTACCTTTAGGTGATAGATATGTTCTTCTGTGTCAAGATCTATCCTACGAGCCTTTTTTTTTATAGACATGACTGATAAACCAACATCAATGCTCCCATGGACCTTTCCTTTCTGTATCTAAAATAAAAACATCAGGGCAAAAATTTAAAAGTATTGTGCACTTTTTCTATATATTTAACAGCAAACTATCTAGTACTGAAATGGTTTCCCATTTTACAATATTTTGGCATAAAGCCATATTAAAAAATAAAGCTGAACTCAGGCTAATCATTTAACTACTTATTATATTTATAGTCAGAGAAAAGTACCTCACAAGAAATGCTGGTACAAAGCCAACTCCAAAGTTTGGGTGTGTTAAGTTGTTCACACCAGTGCACAGGCACAGGTAAGTGAGGAGCAGAGAAAATCCGACAGTACTTGACACCCTACTGTTATGACTTGGTAGTTATTGGCATCAAATATAAATAATTGGTATTAATTCTTTATCCTATCCTATCTATCCATGTCTCAGAATAATCAGCTCTGGCTGACATAAGAATTAGAAAAGAAAAATATATGGTCAGGTTAATCTCTCAAGTAGCTTTATTCAAGAAACTACCTTTATTAATTTTACTTATATTTCCACAGGAGTAAAAAAGGTAGAATTCTTGGAAGAGATAACCAAAATGATTTATCTTTAAATCCATCAACAACATTATTTATCTTTAAATACATTATTTATCTTACATCATTTATCTTTAAATCCATCAACAACTTTCATGTGTGTACTTTCATAAATATACCTAGAGTCAGTATGAGCAGGCAGAACTTCATTAGAAGTTTTAAAGTCTTCAGCTCTACTTACATCAATTGGTGACTTTGAATATTTCAACATTCCATTATCCAGGACAAAAAACCTCTGAAATTATAAGAAAAAAATCCAACAACATTCTTTCTTAATGAGCAGATGCAATTTAAACTGTGTACAACAATTCACCTGGAGAAGGATTACCCTGTAACAATTAAGGAACTGTATTTATCCTCTCCTTCCAACCCCAATTTGGGGGTTGGAAGGAGAGGATAAATACAGTATTAAATAACTTTCTTGTTTGTTTTTTGACAACAATTATCTTTTAAACAAAAAAAAGAACCTAGATTCTTATTATGTTCTAGGCTTATCTTAACAAACTTTGACAATGAAGGTGGCTTTTTTTCAGTTTTCCAGGCAATGTAATAAACTTTCTAAGAGACTGTGGGACAAGAGACATGTATCTGTTTCTTTATTTTGTTCCCGTTTTTCTTCCCACAAAAGCTGGTCACATTTCAAATTAGCAACCTATCTTCCCTATCCAGAAACTGAGAAGTTTGTCCTAGTGCAAGATCTAAATCTCAAAAGTAAGTCCATATGAGAGACCCTGGTCTCATGCAAAACTTTGTGCCTTCTGGCAGACCTGTACTCAGTGAAGTACAGATGAGATTGTAACTCAAGGTGCTGAAGACACCTTGTCTAGTGTTAATCCAGGTATTAGTGCCAGAACACATATTGCAGCATTCCCAGCATCATCCCCCAGTGATGGGAGGGCAGATGTCTCAGGTGTTGGTGATACAGGCTGAGCCACTGCACCTTCACTGACATGGGTACCAGGACTGGCCTAACCTGATGATGCCTGTTTTACTGCTGCACCATTATTGCTCTGAGCAGAATCCCCTATTCAAGCTGTATTTCTCCCTCAATTACAGCTGCCCTGGCTTGTCTGTACCAGATCACTCCAGCTGCTTTGCAGTCAAGTTAATGCAGACTTTGGCACACAGCATAAAGCCTAGCAGAAAACTGGACTTGAAATGACATTTGCTAACTCATGTTTATCATCACTAACTTTAAAAACATGTAAAGTAACAGCAAATAACTCATATTTTTAGAGTGTAACCTAAAGCATTAATCTATGTTGAAATCCCAGAACACAGCAAAATACTCTGCTTGATTCTCAAAGCTGTCATGACATGGGAAGGAATGGCAATGGTTTCCTCAGGTGAACCTGGCTAATTTAACACTACGAGCAGGGTTGGTAGTTGGACAGCAGAAAATCTCCCTCAAAGATGGTTCTAGAAATTCTGTCAGTCACACAACAGATGGTAGCAATATCCCACACAGGGCAGGAGACCAGTGCTTTTCCCTACCCCAGCTGAAACCAGCACATTTGGAGATATAACTTCTTGAATAAGATGTCAAAACAACAGGAACATTTTGGGTTTTTTTTCACAGGTATGGTCACTAACAACCTTCACAAGAATATGATGTTCATGTCATATTGCTCTGTCTCTCTAAGCTGCATACACAAAAGAAAATTACCTTTCATCATAATTTCATTCCAACACACACTGCACTTCAGAGGACGATAAGTTCACCAAGCTGTGCACATTATACCTGGTATTCCTCCAAAGCACATTCAGGACTGTCACAATATGACATCAGTGTTCAACAGATGTTGTATATGGCTTTGCTAGTAGAACACTAACACAGCACATGCTGCAATTATTGTCTCTGAAGTTCCTCACTGACTCTCAGCACAAAGTATTATTACGGAAACTCCAAGATACCCAGGCCAGCATTGCAAAAAAACCCAAACAACCTATTAACAAACCCAAAGTTTCAAAACATAAGTTCAGCACAGTTCCCAAGGTTAATGTAAGGCAGAGTAGAGGAGGATGTTAAAATGTGAAGTTCTTAATCACATTAAAAATTATCTACACAGGTAACTGCTCTAAATTCATCTAGATCATCAGTAGTGATTGCCTTTACAGAACTATGAAAGTTGGACTTCTCTTGCTCTCCTATAAATTAGTTCCTTACCAAAATAGACACTTTGCCAAATAGTAACACATTACTATAATGTATTTTAAAAGTGTGGGAGCAGTGGTTTATTCCATAAATTCTTATAGACTTCATTAATTGGTTTTTTGGAGGGTGAGATCAATTTGATTCACAAACTCCCTTTGGATTTTGAATACAACCTTAGGCAACAGGGACTGTGATTTGAGAGCCATGAACTGTGTCTGCAAACTAATTCCATATAGAGGTGGAAGAAAAAGTCATACACCAAAATCATGGGTATTTGACATCCTAAATTTGTCTAGACAAAAAAAAACCCAGCTAATAAAATAAGGTAATAATGTTCTGACTGGTTTATGGGACATTTACCTTGTGCCAACCTTTTAATGGCCATTTTCTCTTCTTCAGCATGAAACCTTCATGTTTGTCTGGCTTCTGGACATTGGTCTGGCCTATTTTCAGACCCTCTATGATTTCCCAGCTGTCAGGTTCCTGATGAAGCAGCATGAAGACACATTGATGAATTTATTTTGCACACCCATGGCAAAAAATTGCACTTAAAAGTGACACAAATTCTTCAATGCAAGACAAAGAGGAGGAGCCAGGCTTTTAAATCAACCTATTTAGGTACCAAACTACATGGTCACTATATTAGGCCTAGCTGTATCACATTTAGAACTACTAAACACAAACCATTTTCAGATGTCTAACCCTCACCAGGTAAGATGCATAGTAGGAGTGCCCTTTGTGATATCTCTTAATTATAAAAAAATTTAAATTTTCTGATCTTTAAAGTACAAGCTACATTGGTTCTGGATGCCCCAGTTTTTCCTCCAAATCAGAAAAACTAGCAGATGATGTTGCTTTATTGTTGATTTTGACTGTAGCTAGTGGGAATCTTCAAAGGCATTTTATGACAGAGTTTCACTTGCTAATTGAGGCTTCAGAAATCTGCAAAAAGATTTTTTTCCCTGCATTCATTTTCACTGTATTATGAGAAATTTATAGGAAAGCTAACTAATTTTCTCTCTAGAGAAAAACAGAGGAACAGTATCATTTGAGATACAATCAGTTGTATGCCTTTCGTGGAGCCAATTAAAGCATATTTCTGGTACATACCACTTGTTTTGCATGGTGACTGGTGCAGCTCAAGCCATATTTACAATGTAACACAGTGAACAGGTAAAGAACAATGTTGTTAAAGAGAAAAAGTTGGAGTCAAGTTTTCTTTTAGAATGTATTTCTATCCTCTTGCTATTATTGTAATTAAAAAAATTCTGCACCCGTTTAAAAATCTCTTACTGCCAGATTCCTCAGACTGTGGTTTACTAATTATACCTTGCAAAGCTGTAAACTTGCATTTTCTCAGTTGATCTGTCATAACTCCTAGCAATGTTATGAAAAGTTAACAAGAGAGGAAGGAGGTCATATAGCATCAAACATTTAAAGGGAAAAAAAATTGTCTCCACATTTCCAACAAAACCACTCAGAGCCAAGTGCTGTCAGTCTTTCACAACACCTCCAAATTAATTACACAGCCCTGATAACATCAACATTGCTGTAACGAAAATATAGTTGCAAAAGTAACAGCAAATTTCAAAACTATAATTTTGAATAAAGTCTTGGTATTTTGAGAAGGGTGAAAAGCTCTATCCCAAATAATAAACACTGCTGTAAATTTTAACAGAAACCTTCATTCAGTTTAGTTTCCCCTGAATAACCATGAACTAATTATCTCAATGACTGTAAATCCCCTACTCAAAATGCAGCTTTATTTAACTTCCCCATGTTTTGCTTCAATGTTTTATTTCCATTCTCTAGAGGAAGTACATATGTATTACTTTTTCCCTACATGGAAGTACTTAGCACTTGAAGGGAACAAATTAAACTTCAAGTTATACACCAGCAGAGAGTCTCTGCATCTCTGCCAACTGATTCTTCACCATATTGATTTCTCCTTTAGATGATCAGCTGCAGGCATAAGTCTTTTATCTACTAGATAACATCAGTATTGATTAATTCTCAACTAGAAATCACACAATCTCATACAGCTATTCATATAAACAAAAGACCAGATACAGAGGGATAAAATGAGTAATTATTCACTGCAGTGAGGATACTTGTCTCCTGCTGCATCAATGCTACAAGCTGTTTTTAAAACCCTCCTAACAATCCTACCTGTGCCTCATCCCACAGTTTTGGTGTGTTGAGATATGCCCAATACAAAGGCCATTATGAAGGAGAGACAAAAATGGGAAAAAAAAAGAAAGTGATACACTTGAAGAGTCCTCATCCAAGGCCAGTTCTCAAGCACAGCAGCAGTATTTTAGGACTTCAGTGATTCCATAGGTGTTCCATGAGAAACAGCCCTGTGCAAAGCACCACAACTGGGAGAACACAATCACAGCTTTCAGTGCCTGCCTCTGCACATGCCCCTTGTTTGGGGATTAAAGGAGCCACCACCAACTGCTTTCTCAAGTTTTGGCTGCAAAATATTTATTTTCCAAATAAAAATGAATATATTATTTCATTTTCCCTGGATGAACAGAATACTTCCTTTTGAAATTGTTTTACCAGGTCTGTTTCAAAACTTACAGATACTTAGTTTCAGGTTTTTATTTTCCACCAAATTTTCCAACACAGCACTCTCACCTTTTTCAGAAACAATCTTACTTTTGCAGCTGAAGTATCTTAAAATGAAGCTTTCTTTACGTGGAATTAGACTTGTTTGGAATCACTTATTCCAAAACTGAGCAATTTACCCAGAAAGAAGCTGGCTTCAAAACAATACACACAAGGCTTCACTTTTTACGAGGGCGATGTCACCCCTGCAGTTGCATCCTTTACTCTGCCTCAGGAAAGAAAATCTCAGCAAGAGCTTTTAAATTTCAAACTACACACAAGGGATGTTATTAGGACATATTTTTAAACTAATATTTATTGGCAGCATTTTTAGATTTGGATATTATTTGCTCTACCATAGTAAGAGGATATTGAACTGGAAAATTTCTCAAAGTCATAGAATCATATCAAATCCTGACTTTGAGGGGTCCCATAAGGATCACCAAGGTCCCTTCTAGCCCCATTTTCTGAGAAAGTAGAATTTGTTCCTGGGGCCATCCATGTGAAAAAAACAACCAGAAAAACAAACCAATCCTTAATTTTGTTAATATAACATCTACTGAAGATTACTGGCTCTTCTTACACCTCAGTTATAGAACAATAAGCTCCAGGGCAGACTCCCAATATACTCAAATGGTAGTGGCATACAAAACGCTGGACACAGAACACCTGAAGTGTTAGTCAAACTACTTTGTAACTCTAGAGGGAAACTCACTGCCCAGACTCCATCCCAGGCTTTTGCTTACCTTGGATAGAGAGAGATGATCACTTTCAAGGAACTGCTTGCTTAAAGAAGGGTCTGTGCTTCCTGAAGAAGCCTTTCGCTCCAAAATATGAACACTCTAAAAAAATAATTAAAGACAAAATCATGGCTCAAAACATACAAAACAACCACCTATCCATGGTTTACATGCACAAATGGCCTGCCTGCAGAGGCAATGTACTTCTCTCTCTTTATTACTGGATTTTTAATTAATTACTCTGTTTAACCTAGAAATGATGGTGAACTAAAAACAGCCAGGAAAGATGAGTAATGCAGTCCTTACCTCTACAGAGATTCAAAGGGCTCCTAACCAGGCCTCTCATGTTTTCTGTTAATATACAAGACACTGAGTGCACATACACTGCAGTCAGCACTGCCCTACATTCACTTCACATAACATATTACCGCCTCTAAAATATTCATTATCACACCTCAGCATTTTGTTATTGGCTTCTCAGCTGAGAAAAAGTAACACACTACACAAATGCAGTTGAATAGATTACAGGTATTAACAAGATCAGTTACTGTGTCTCAGCTGATGGCCTTGATGCTGAACATTCATGGAACACTGGGATCTTAAACCACTGCAGCTGCTTTTACATATCACAGTCCTATAAAATTTTATATCTTCAAAGCACTGTAATAAAAATGAAATACACAATGTCACAACTAGTCCTGAAAAGATTTCTATTCTTAAAACACATCTAAACGTGTCTTTCCATTTTCCAGAAAATGGAAGCATGTCTTTCCATTTTCCAAAAACCCCTACTTTATAAAAGAAAAAGCATTTGTGGTACAAGAGAAAATTACCACAATCCACAGGCACAGATCTGCATTTTATTCTCTGGTGAAATTTTGCTACATCTCATCTTACTATTTGGTAAGAATTCTACCACAACATGTCATTAGTATCTCTTTGGCATAAAATATAACTACTTCATTTCCAGGACAAACAGCACAATGACAAACTTGCAATTACCCTCCGAGAAGCATATGTTTTTCTCAGCTGAAAATGCCAATTAAGTTTTGTTCACAATTAAGCTTGTTTACATTGACTACAGAGATTACCCAGGTACCAGCAGCAGCAGCAGAAACAATCAGGAAATATAAAGGTACATGCAAATGGAAGTGTAAATATTATTGTTTACATAAATTATTAAGTACAGAAAGGACCATAACCAAACTAAATTAAACACAGCTATTCATTTAAATGCATAGATATAACAGAGAACAAATCTTGCTGCAGAGCAACACACAGACCTTCATTGTTCTCTTTCAAGTTGCAACTGTGAATGAGAATATTAAACATGGGAAGTGTCTCTGTTTTCAGTGGAGATTGATAAGCATCCCTACCACCATGCAACACTAATCAGCATTTATTTTCAGTTACTTTTTTAGATTAAATTTTACAGCAAAGAATGTGGAAAAGCAACAGTATTACATTACTCCATGGCCAACCACCAAAAAGCTTTGTCATTTATGTTTTAAATACTTCTGCTTTATCAAAAGAAGTTCAACCTACTTATTAAGTCCAGTGTATTTTACTAATCAGATGACAAAAAAATGTGTATATGTGTAGCACAAGTGTCTATGTTACATATCAAATAATTTAATAAACTAATTTGAGCTGAAAACCACAAAGTTCCTAATGAAAAACTTTCTCACCAAATAAAGGAAACGCTACTTTTGTACACAGTATGACATTTTAACAATATACAGAAGAACCTAAATCTGCTCCTCCAAAGAAGATTAAAATGTCTCTTGATTAGCATAATCAGGATGATTCCCAACATTCTTGCCAGCTTTGTCTGGCAGGCAGGAATCCATCCATCCTGAGATGGAGCAATGCCCAACACAGATGTTCTGAAGGTCTCATGTTCTCTCAGCTGGTGCAGTTTGTTGTTACATAACTGCAATTTCATTTTGTACAATATTTAGAGAGGAGTAGCCCAACAGCCCTTAGCTTGCCAGACTTCCAGTGACATTTTAACTTACATAATTTTAAGTCAGGAAGGTTTTGTGCCTTTTTTTTTAAATTAGCCTTCAGTCATTACAGTTCCACTTCAGTTGAGAAATACATTATTAGCCAGCAGCACTTTAAATAATGCTGACTTATTCAATTATTTGTCTGAAAATTAGAAAATTAACACCTTTTAAGTAAAATTGCCTTTTTTACATTCCTCTCTTTCAGGAGTGTTGGCTTGTTGTCTATAGATGCTTGCTTTTCAATTCTCTTTACTCATGACCACAATTACACTGATACAAGATTATTTCTTTAGATTTGTGACAAGTCTGTAGCACAATACTAAGAGACCACACTTGGTGCAAAATATTTTCCATTAACACATGTTATTTTTCTGCAAAATTACAGCTAGAAATCACAAAATTGCTTCACATTTTGAAAAGCAGCTAATTTTACAGTGCAAGATTTAGTTAGAATCAAATAAATAAAAATTATTTAAATCTTGACATTATTGTCAAGGGGTTTTTTGCATTTTAACATGAAAAACAGACCTGGAAAGAAGCAGTAAAAAAAAAACTAATAAGAAGGCATAAAGAGGCATGTCAACACTGTTTCTGGGGTTTATTTATAATCAAACCAAAAAATGAATAATAATCCATTAAACTAGGCACATCAATCAACATGATACTCTTATTCCTCTCCTAAAAATACAGACAGGCAAAATCAACGTCAGCATTGCTGCATTCCAGACTCCCCTCATATTTCAGGATCACCACACCATAGCTGGTTTCTCTTGGAGGAAAACACCAGCACCAGCATATTCTGTGTGCTCTAGAAAACCAATTCAACATAATTACAAGTTTAACTCCAATTACTATGTAATTACATTGCAACATCTTCATCCTAGCTACAATCCTTCATCCTTATGATTATCCACAAATCCATTACATAGGTGGCACACATTTGCCTCAAAATACCCCTAGCAAGCCAACATATGGGGAACACAAATGCTTGTTCCACCCTGCATTTTTTTTCCTCTTTCCCCAAGTGAGGAGGAAAGAAATTGATGGAGAAAATAAAATAGCACTATGATGGTGAACCATATTCTCATCTTCTCTGGAAGACAAGAATGGAAAACATATTTTACAATATCCTTCCATGTATATTGCCAACTTCTTTTCTCACTTTGGACTTTAATGACTCATACAGCTCATTATTCTGGTTTTGGGTGGGACAGAGCTCATTTTCTTCCAAGTAGCTGGTATAGTGCTGCGTTTTGGGTTCAGTATGAGAACAACATTGAAGGCACAGTGATGTTTTGGCTGTTGCTGAGCAGCTCTTACCCTAAATCAAGGACTTTCCAGAGTCCCATACTCTGCCAGTGAGGAGGTGCATGAGGAGCTGGCAGGGGCATGGCCAGGACAGGTTTTCCCATTTCTTTCCTCTGCTTCTCCTCCCCATTCCACCAGTAGGGTTGGTCTCCATCAGACCAGAGGGTGGAGACCCTAATTTACTTTACTGAATCTGACTTCCCATTAAAACAAAAGATATTCAACTGTTTTCACAGGAAAGGTAAGGAAAGAAAATCAATTTTGAGTAAGTGGAGACAGAAAATCCAGTGAATGACAAGTCTGACACTCATGCCTCTCCCTTCTGCTTCACTCTTATTTACTTAATGGAATGACTTATATTTAATGCAAAGACGTCTCTATAATTTTTTATTTATTAATTTCCAAGAAAAAGATGAACTGGTGAGGATTTCATCACTTACATTTGACACAGACTCTCTGTAGTTAAGAAATGCGCACAACATGTGGTTAACAGTTAATTCCTTAAAAAGATCTGATGGATCATTTTGCTTGCTCACAGCATTCTAGCAGTCTCCAACACCCATAACTGTGGGGCCTATACATACACTGTCCTACAACAGCAATTCAAAGAAGAGCTTTTCTGTCTGGGATTTTTGTCTCGATTTTTTCAATTCAAAGTACTAACTAGTGCATCTGTTATTATTTGCCAGTCACTGGAATTCTTTTTGCAACCTAACAAAACTGCATTCTTACTTGAATTCCATTTAGTACGAAGTGCAATGTTTAACCACTTTCTCTCACTTAAAACCACACGATTTTCTGGTTATCTGAAACACAGCACAAGTAGTAAGGCAGACAGATTTGACTGCATACATGCCAATTTTAACTACCTTCTAAACAAGCTGTGATATATGCCAAGTTAATCTGCAATATTACTTGCAAAGGGAATAACCTTGAAACTTGCTTTTCTCTTAAGATGCTTCTTAGCCAGCTCTGGCTTTCCTCCCGCTAATGTTGGAAGAAAGACAGATTCTTCAATATAATGGTGAGAGAAGAGTGAGTGCAAAGCAAAACAACCATATCTCATCAATGTGCATCTCCTTTCTATCTTCTAGCACAGTTTTTTAATTCTTGTAAAGCAGTCATGGTCCTATTCCTATCCTCAGTCTCTTCTATTGGCATTTTTCCATAGCTGTTCTCAGCAATCTCAGCATCAACTAACTGACAAAGGAGCTTAGCAATACTTTGTGAATAGCACACAGTTAGCATTTTTTTTCTTCTTGTAAGACATTTTCATCTTGAACAGAAATGTACTTAAGAGCAACATTTTCTCTTTGTAACCTTTTTACTGAAAGATAAGTCTATATAAGATACAGTTCTGTAGCATATGAATAATATCCAGGTATGCATGCCTACTTCTTTCCTGGGATATGCAAAGTAAACCCCTCTTGTGTAACAGAAATGTCAAGGATTTGTTAGCTCAGGAGCTGTCAGCCCTTTCCAGCTTTGGATTGTACTTCATGTCAATGCTTCTAGGCTCTAGCAGCAAGGAAGGCTTTGCTTTTCAAGGTACTTTTTGACAAATTCTGAAGACAAATAAGCTCTTGCTCTCATGAAGAGCTTCTTGGAGGGAATCATTAGCACAACTGGATAAAGCAGAAAAGAGCTATCTATCATTGTACCAGCAACCTTTCTTTGGCTAGAACGATGGTTTGGAACAACTGCCAAGTCACAGCCTGAGTGTTAATGACAATCTTCTCCCTTTGCACCTACCTTAAGATAGCACAAACAGATAAATTTACAGTG